ATATATATAACTGTATATCATTAACTTTTTTAGTTCTTTTAAATAAATATAATTCCTTTCTGAATACAATTTTCTTGTGGGTACTTTCAGGTTTTTTGATAAGTTAATGAAGATACAAAAGAGAAAATTTTTTACTTCGTTTATGTTCAAGCTACTGGTTTGAATGTTCTATCCATTTTTCAACTTACAATTTAAACTAAGTTGTGTTTTTTTTTCCTTTTAAATTGCAGAAATTTGCTTTAGTCAGCAGACACTAATATCATTCCTTCTGTAAAAATAAATATCAGAATTATAGTTTTTTTTTGTAGTTGGATCTATATGTATACAGGAAGTGGACAAAATAATAGAAACACTTGTACACTAATACATTGTTTTCATATTTCTCATGAAATAGTTAAGGAATCAATTTATAACTTCAGAATTTTCGAGATCATGCGGTTTTTCATACATATCAATGAAGTTAAAAGCTTTTAGAGGTTGGTTTGAGGGATCGACAATAAATTACATGCGAAAACTAGTGTTTTTGAACTTACTATACTTAAAAATAAAGCAATAAAAGCATAACTGATCATGTTATGACAATTATTTTGGTTGTTGCAAGCAATAAATGCACCAAATTTCGTTAGCACAGCTTAAATATTTATGAAGATACGGACAATTTTTATAAAAAACAATTTTTTTTCTCCTATCACATGTCCTTTTTTGTTATAACTTTAAAAATATTCAATAAAATGAAATAAAACTTTTAGAGCAGTATAAAATTAATTAAAATTTCCTTACTCTAAAATTTGAAAAGAAAAACTTTGAAAATGATGCAATTACCATACATCAATTACTAAAATTCTAAAATACTTTCTTAATGGTCTCAATGACTTTTGTTTGAAGATATCAAATAGATTCTCTTTACCTTTAAGTATACTAACAGAAAGGATATGGGGTGTTTATTATTACTTTAAAAACTTTGCTTTCAATATTAAGGATAATTTAAATAACAGTAACAATTCAAAACAATTTTCTAAAATTGTTCAGTCAATTAAGCAACGGCAAAAAAAGTTTGTAATTACCCCCTCAGGCAAAGCTAACAATAATTATGCAATCTTCTGCAAAATATTCCATGTTGAACTTTAAATAGATGAAAAATTGTAAAAATTTTAAACTTAGTAATTTAAATAATAATTTTACCATGAGAAAAAATTTAGCCTTACATAAGAGTGTAAAAATTAAAATTAGCAATATAAATTTTCGTTACTTAATTATCAGTCTTAAATTTCATAAAATTTCGATAAAATTTGGAACAATCACATGTAGGTCCAATACTTTAAGAACTAATACTTTTGGGAAGAATATCTAACTAAACCTGGCACCATTTTCTCTAACTACTTAAATAAAATTACTAACAATGTTATTAAGGAAGGTTTTTCTTGGATTATTACTAATAATCAACCGATTTTAGAATTTATTAAGCATAATAAAATTAATTATATTGCTACTTTTAATTTCCAAGATCTTTTCAATAGCATTCCCCTTTCTAAACTAAAAGATGTCCTTTTGAATTATAACTATGATTTTAAAAATATCCTTAATTGCGGTTTTGATTATTAGGTAATTCTAATTAAATTTTCTCTTTTTAATAATTATCTTTATAATGGAAAAGATATTTTTCTTCAAATTGATGGAATACCTCAAGGATCTAATTTTTCATCTGTCTTAGCTAACTTATTTTTGCATCATTATGAAAAGAATTATACTCTTAATATTAAATTTGTTTTTAGATTTATTGATGATTTTATTATCCTTAATTTTCAAGATTATAGTATTTTATTAAATACTTTTTACCCCGAGGAATTAATCCTACTTCATAAACATGATGAAAATATTAATTTAAATTTTTTGGAATTTGGTATTATGAAAGAATAAAATATCTGCTATGCTGATTTATACGATAAAAGAATTTTTTTTAATTTTAGTATAAATTAGCTAATTACTTGGAATTCTAATGTTTCTAAGAACATCTCTTTAAAAACCATTTTTAATCAAATGAATAGAATTAAAAGAATATGCAGTAATGTTTATTTATGCAAAAAAAAAAAAAATACACATGCACGAACTCTTTCAAAATTTGATACATATAAATATATAAAGTTTTTCTAGTTTTGGTTCTCTCTTATATTTTAAATAACGTTGTTTTTTATTCTCATTCATGTCGGGTCTTTTATAGGTGAGCCTGTTTTTGATCGTTTGAAAATTTTTTTTCTATTTCTATATTTTTGAAGTGAAAGTTTTTAATGAAGTAATATCTTACTGTTTTAGCCTCTGGGGATAATTTATTTAATTGAACTGTATTATTTTTCTGAAATGCGACTAAATATTTTGATATACTTTACATAATCTTAATGATCTAAAAATTGTCTATATATCACCATGAAGACAATATAAAAACAATATAACAATTAGAGCTTACGTATTTATTATGTTTCGATACTTACCCATATTTGATCATATTTCCTGAACTTGGTAGGATAAATAATATTTGATAAGATTATATTGAGAGATTTAGATAATATTTTCGAAATATTTTAATTTTTTAACTAAAATGTGGTGCTTTTGAGTTTTAAAAATTTGGTGTACCTCTAATTACTTACAACTGTAAAATTAACGCATTGATAATTGTTATGTTCTAATCTTAGTTTTGAAAAATCATGTTTTATATTAGGAGCCTTTTCCTTACAAACATACATATGTGTAAGTTCTTTCATCAAATAAGATATTTATGTATATAACACTTTAATATTTTATGTAATATTACATGCAAATTTTAATATTTATGAGGATACTAATTTTAGTTTCGAAATTGAAAAGAACTTACTTTTAAAAAAAATACTAAGTTGCTCTTGAGAGCGAATTTCTTTCTTTTTCATTCTCTGTAGAAAATGTGCTTGTTTTACTATTAATAGCAATCCAATTTTATATTTTTAAAATTACGTGCGTGTTTTATTCAATAGAAATAAGTTTTCTTTGAAATTATTGGGTCGAGACTTTTAAGTTATTCAATTAGCGGGAATTTATGAAGATTCGAAATTAAATATCTATTAGCACTTATTTACATCTTTAGCTTCGTTCTTACAAAGTTCTCTTAGTTAAAATCTTTAAACTATTTTCAAATTTGTTTAACACATCTTACGTACTTTTATTATACTATGTATAGTATAATTTTATAATCAAAATATTATTTTAGGCAAGAATTTTAAATATTTTTTTCCAAAATATTCTTAATCATTTTACTGTTATATAATGTATTACTCAAAAACTATTAAACAGATTGAGGCTTTCAATTTTTTTAAAGCCGTTCACATAAATGCGTGTTTAATTCCTATGATATTGTTTCATTTACTAGTTTCTAAGCCAATCTTGAGACATGTTATAGTTTAATAAATGCCTAAATGCTTGAAATGAAATTTGACTTTTATTGAAATATGCAATCACATACTTTATTTAAGGATAATATTAAAAATATAGAAAGACTAGCAAAGATGGATTTTCTAAAAAAACTCATTTTAGCGAACGTCTTCCTTTAACGAACCTTTAAACGATTCCTTTTCACGATTTCTTAAAAAAAAATAGTAAATAATTAAATTTGATCAGATAATACAATTGCCGTTTTTCGTATTTCACTAATGCATTTTTTAAGTTAACTGTTAAAGTTTAAAAAAATAAATCTATGCTTTACGCCTCAAATCCGTAGATATACAGTTGGGTAAAAATGTTTCCGGCTGGCGTAGATTTGTAATTTCTTTCAGCTTTTGGAATTTAAACATGTTTAAAAAAATGCATACAAAAATTGCGCTGAATTAAAAGACAATTAATTTTCATCTTATTTTTATTGTAACTAAAATGAAAGTGTAATAATGAGACGGGATACTTTGCACTCCACAGTAACTAATCTAACTCTTTCTATTTAATTTTTATATTTTGAAAAATTAGTGCTAGTAGTTTAATATTAGTTATTAATAATTCGACCAAACACATTGCTCAAAAGTTTTCATACGTACTGAAATTAGATGACATGATTGTAATATAACTACAATATAAACCAGAAATATACTGTAAACAATGAAGCTAGCCACTTCTTGAGTATTTTCTGAAGAATTTAATTGGGTGAAGCGAATTGGGTATATTGAATCAATCAACCTACTGAATTATCAACTAGTTTAAGCTATTTTTAATCTATTTTATTTCCTTTTGTTTTGCTAATCTTCAAAATATTTCTATTCTGACATTACATGTAATTGCTTTTTCTTATTCTTCTATTTATCTGACAAGGGATATTTGAGTCAATTCTGGCAAATTACTCAAATTGTGATAAATTTTTGTTTTGATTTTTGAGTTATAAAACAGCATTTCTTTAATAAAAGTATTTCGCTTGATTCATTTGCGATCTATGCTACTTAAAATATTTTTTTAAACGGAATATTTCCACAATTTAAGCAAAAAACGTGTAAAATTATCTACTATAATGAAGCATTCCCACAAATTATCTTAATATAAAATTCAACACAATTTTTGCTACTAAATAAAAGCTACTTACCACGTATAGCTGAAATTTAACTTCATATTTATAGTATCTGTCATAGACTAAATATTATCAAGGATTTTGAAACTCAACTAACCCTTTCATGGTAATTTAATTTTACTTATTCAAATCGCATGATTTAAACTTCATTTTAAATGAGTATTGAAAATGAGGGCGATAATCTCTCTTTC